ATAGTATACGGAAACCTGAAAACAGATTCCTCTATGTTCTTTGTCCTTTTCTCTAATAATATAGGTAGATATAGATATACCTCACCTCATTATATTAAGTCTGAGTCTTGAGTACAATATATTCTGTGTTCCATGAGTCCTTTTAATGCATTTCCAAACATGAAGTTATCTTAGGAAACCCTGACACTGAGTACTGGAAAAGGGATAGCATAGAGAAGCAGAAATAGAGCTGTACGAATACATCCACCTGGTTTTTAAAAAATAAGTAAAACCATCAAGTTGCAAGGCAAATTTCAACTGACCAATGTCAAAATTAATGAGACCTGGTAATGACTACTTATTCAAATATGTTTAATATCTTCAAGATTATGCCTTCAGGCTAATAGAAATCCCTTGTAACAAAAGCTAGTACATTGGACTAAAGACTCAGTCCCTGAAAAGGTTGTATATTTATCCATTCAATTATATTTTTTTAAGATTGTCGCTAAAATCCATTCCAATCTATTAAAATAAAGCAAATAATATCAAAAAAGAAGTTCTGGAGTCAAGAACTAATGCATTTTTTAAAAACCTAATATGTATGTGACCAAGTTATATAAAGCTATCTACCCAACCCATCCTGAAACACAGACCAAGAAGTCTAATAGGTATACAAGTCAGAGACTCACATGAAAGACAAGTTATATGAACTTACAAAGCCAAAATCATTAAAGATAGTGATAGATGTACATATATACATATAGAGATAAAGATATACAGATAATCAGATCCAACATTGTATGTAGTACAGAGTAAGAACTCAAGAAATGCTACTTTCATATATCCACTACCCTTCAAGCCCCTCTCCTTTACTTTTTATTCATCTCCTGATAAATACAAATAGGTGGGGGGAAGAAGATCACACATTATATAGATGAAAGGAGGTAAACAAAATCAAGAAAAAAAACGTTCAGAAACAAAAGGATCTCATAACTTCTTGATTATGAAAGGCCTTAGTGATAACCTCCTCAAAAAACATAGAGTAAGACATACTAATGACAGTCACTATTTCCATTGCTTTTCTTTATATCAAATAAACTTTAAAATAAGTCATTTGTCATGTGCCTAGTTGCAAAACTATAAAATGTAAAGCCACTTAGTAATTTGTAAATAAGAAAGAGGTACATTCTCAAACAGAGAAAAAAATGTATTTTGTTTAATTATATATGTACAATATTAATTTTATGTTTATAATTCAAATTGCATGGCCTGTTATGCAACACTAAAAATTTTCAAATTTATTGAGGAAACGTCCAGAGTAATTTTAATTTTCCTATTCTCCCCTTTAAAAGGCTCACTGACTCTAATACAATATTGCAGTGAACTGAATGATTATGTGCTGTCAAAATTCACAAGTTAATATTCTAATCCCCAGTATGAAGGTATCCAAATGTGGGTTTTTGGGTGATAACTGTCATGAGGGTGGCATCCTTATAAACAGGACTAGGGCCCTTAAAAAAGATTCCAAATAACTCTCCCGCCTGCCTGCATTCTAGGATGTGAGGATACAATGAGAAGACAGCAGCCTGCACCCTGGAAAGGGCTCTTAAAGAGCCCTGCCCAGTTGGCATCCTCACCTTGGGACTCCACCCCCATATCTGTGAGAAGTAAATTCTGTTTCTAGGTATTATAAACCACTCAGTCCATACTAGTTTTTTCTAGCAGCCCAAATTATGACAAATTGAACTACAAGCAGTAAAAAGAACTACATTATGTTATATTATAAATGAGAGAAGTAGGATTTCTAATAACCTATGTGGCTTAACAGGATAGATGGAGTTCTCATTCACTGAAAGTAGTAATAATGAGAGAAATATGCAACACTGGATTACACTGTATAGAGGGATTTTTATTTCATGAGGAATATAGAGCACTTCTAAAACATCCAAAGAGACACATAAAGGAGGGAAGAAATATGAGTAAGAGTAGTAAATCCTCAGCATATCATGTAGGGAAAGGTTTTAGGGAAAGGAGTTACGTAGCTTTAGCATGCCTTCAGTAACTGCAGCATGGACTGGATGAGTAGAAGAAATCTCAGTTTGCAGAGGGAGACACTAAAGCAAGGAGCTAAATTTAAAGATCAATGTAGAAGTCATTGGTAATCTTAAAGATACCAATTTCTACAGTGACCAGGAAATGACAGAAATGGAGAGACAGAGTCTGACTGGAATATAAAATAAGTATGCACAATTACTCTTTTGTGTGTATTTGTGTGTGTGTAACTTTGTTTTTGATTTTTATTATCCCACATTATTTGTATGTGTGTGTGTGTGTTTGTTTTTCTTGGTACCAGGGATCAAACTCAGGACCTTGCACTTGCCAGGCAGGCATTTATGCCACTGCCATCTCCCTGGCCCAGCACAATTACTCTTAGAATAAAAGAGAACAGAAGCTAAAGACAGTAGAAATCAGGATCAATAAAGGGTTTGAAGGTTGATGGTATAGTTCAGTGTGGGACAGTTGCCAAGCATTCAAGAGGCTCTGGGTTAGATTCCTAACACTATACAAATAAATTAATCACAGAAAAGGGAGGAGACATTGGGAAAGTGCAGAGAGGTAAAGACTGTTATTTTTTTGTTTGTTTTTGAACTCTAGACAAGTATATTTTAAAATAAGTCTAAAGACCCAATTGAAAAGAAAAAGTGAATATGACATATAAATAATACAAAATACCTGGGAAATAAGGGATAATAAAAATCAAAAACAAAGTTACAAGAAATAAATGAAATGGATTCAGAATAAACAACATTGATTGAAATAAGGAAAAAGCATAGGTCCTAATATGGGTTAGTTTAGATGTATAATTCCCAAAAATAAGGCAACTGTCAATTAATGATTCTAAATTTTTCTGCAATGTAGTAATCTACCTACTAAAGAAAATAGACAATAGAGAAGAAATCTGATAGAAGTGAACAATATTTGAAAACTTTGGCAGAAAGTATAGATGAAAGAAATCCACCAAAAATTCTTTGAGAACCTTGATAAATCAAACAAGGTATTGGAGTACAATAGCAAGAAATGTACCTAAGCTGGTCACACTTAGAGAAACTACACCAATAACCACTGTTATAGAATTAAGTTGTTCCCAGTCAGATTAGCAATTTTAAATTTTGGGTGAAAATTTTTATTTTGGAGCAATGAAAAAGATGTCATCAGTAAAAGACAAACATTTAATAAGACATAGTGAAAGAACCCAGCAAGATCAGTCAGACACACATAGTTAAAAAAAAAAAAAAAAAAAAATCAACACAGGAAATCTTAAAGGACACTTTTATATGTAAAGCAGATTACTATTTGCTAATTGGCTTGTTTGTTC